ACGTCCGCTAAAGTTGTGGACCTATAGACTGACCTCACGATTAGGCTGATGCGGATCGGACGTTCTCCGCCCCATACGCGTTTGTTTTGGATGATTCAATGTGCGGCACGCGTTCAGCACCGGAGACAATCTGCGATCGCTCGCACGCCGTATTTCATTTGCGTTTCCGTAGGTCTTATCTGGCTTCCGTTCGATATATCCACAGTTGTACGTTGTTTGTCGTCAGAAATGGCGACACCTCCAGTGTCGACGAGGATGATCGGCTCAACTGTCATATGCATCATCGCGAAGAAAATTTCGATGCGGCTGGCTAAATCCTTCATCAGCGTAGGAAGGAAAGGCGTTGAATATCTCCGAAGGTCCCATAGGCGGCCCTATCAAAATTCCGACACATGCAAACCGGACTACGAGAGCGATGGAAAGAGTCATGCAATCGCATTCCTATTATAGGTGTGGAAATCTGACTCTTTAAGTCCGCCGAGCTTTGACGGTAGCCCAAGCTCTTTAGCCCTGGAACGTGCGTTGCGAGAGTGCAAATTGAATCTATGCGTGGGCAATAGAATGCGAAGCTTTAATCGCACAGCCAGCCAAATCACTTCTCGTTAAAGGTACATGGGATATGTCCGTAGGTTCAAATTAATTCCCCATGCAGTTCGACAATGGGAGTGCATGCGCAGCGCTTAACTATATCCGCCAACCTTCGATTCCCCCGTCCACGGTCCCCTTATCTCCTGGATCTATTCGATGTATTTCGTCCCCGGATGCACATTATGAGGTCCCTGCGCTTTCGCATCAATTGTATCACGAAAGTCGTAGTGTAACTGGGTGGGTTCAGAATTGAATAACGATGCCTCGGTTTTCTTATTGCGTTTCGATGAGCCTGGGATCCAGCGGTGTAACCATGCTACTACGGCCTGGGCTATGTGAGGCATTTTTGGCATATTGGTCCGCTGCTAGTTCGCAAAGGCGTGTGGGGAGCAATTGCGGAGATTGGAGTATCGGCGACGACGACGCTGAGAGTTCTGGTAAGGAGGGCCGATAAGTCGAAGGGACGCTAATTTGTATCTCTCTGCGTGATTGCTGGTGCGGATGACTTTCGGAATGTTTTCATTGACGTGCCCATCAAAACGTTTGTCACGCCCGTCGCAGACATCGGGGTACCAGCTTCGTTACCAACAATGAACTCACACGTAGAAAATCACACTCATGCCCATCGTATATGCTCGCTTGGCTCACAGAAATGAACACAGTGCCAGCAATAAATTCCTCGGTTTCCTTTCGTGAACCGCACTCTGTACAGAAAGACCCCAATATCATTTACCCGTGTACCGTCACTTCATCACCTATGGACCATCGTAACTCTCATCCTTGGGCCGTTCGTATACCCCCTCTGTAATCTGACTCATGCCTAGAGTCCAAGTGACAAAGAGCCATAAAATGATCGCCACAAAAACTGTGACGGCGATAGCTGCATCGTTGACCACTGCCATAAGCATAGAGGTGCGGGGTGATGTTGTTTTTGTTGTTGAGAAATTCGGAATTTTGTATGAATGTAGAGATTGAGGTAGGCGACGGTGATGGGTGTGAATAGCTTTGTAGATGAAGGCAGCCGTTTCCTTGGGTTTTTGGCGGTCATGTACTACCGCGGAGTCTGAATCTGACTGCTTTTCGGGAGTGACTGCAAGAGCGATTGACCATGAGGTTGTTGTGATGAATATGCGATTGTTAAAATAAAAGTGTATGAAGTGCTGGGAAAGGTTGTTGAGATGCTCGATTGTACAGTTTGAATGCAGCCAGTCGCCCGTGACGAGACTGCCTCAACAACCAATCAAAGCACGTCTCTACGGCCTTCCCTCAACGCCGCGCGCTCTGGTGCAGAGGGTAATTGTCCTTCCACATCAAATGCCTGGTGTAGCTGCGCTTCAAGTAAACCCAAGTGAATGTCGTGATTCGCGTCATAAGGAGGCGGAGGCTGCCTGGACGAAAGTTCCTCATTGTCCGCCTGTCTCCACTGTGTAGTGAGATGCGTTTCCCGCCAGATTCGAGCACGGCGTCTCTCCTTGGCCTCCCGGCGATCTCTGCGCCAGCAACGAATAATTGTAAAGAATGCGACGAGAAAAATGACACATCCCCATATGAGGCCTTGCTTGACGCTGTCAGAGGTGTTCGGGCAGTGGCAAGCGAGGTTGGATGCCATGAGTAAGAAATCGATATGGAATAATACGCATGGAGCGTAGGGATAAAGGCATCCGGGTGCTTTAAGCTATTGTGATTGAATGCGATGCGCGGTGATTGTTGCTTGCTGGCGCAAGTGTTTGGGTGCCGAACCGATGATGGACATCGCGCGCTTTGCTATGCGCGATGATTCCGTGATCGCGATACTGTGCTGTCAGCTGCACGCACGCGGGGCGTCGAAGTATGGAGACTGCTGAAGAAACTAAATGACGGGCATTGATGCATCTCAATTTCGTGGAGTTAGAAGTCCTTGACAAGGTAAGGTCCCACGCAATCCGGTGGGATTTTACCCCTTCCCAAACCATCTACTTTGCAGGATCATCGTTTAGTGTCTATGCGCATGGCTAATGTAACTGATCAATATGGGGTCGTATCTGTGCTTCGAAGTATCAAGAACGCAAAGTGGAAAGACGTAGCATGTATGGCAAAAGAACAGTATGAAGCCACCGATGTGGCGTCCTGAAAAGCGAGCATGGTGACGTTTGCGACAGCACCAGCTAACGCTTATAGAGGATCGTTTAAAAACCTGTTTGAGAGAAGAGCAAATGAAATCCATGAAGGTCACAGAGAAAAAAAAAAAAAAAAACTCTTCGAGATGACTTTGGAGGATGGCTAATAGAAATCGCGACGGAGCTCGGATGGGCGGTTTGTCGGGTTGCTAATGTGACACCAAGTCGTGGAAGCTGTTGCCGCCTGCACGGATCCTGGTGCTACACTGGACGGGTCTGCTCGTTCTTGTGCATTGCATACGACACTGTTTTAGAGTCTCGCTGGCGAAGGGGGCCGGGTTGCTGCTGCGTACGGGGGTATATCAGACGCGAAGTAACATGGACATCGCGAGGGAGACGTGCGCGAGTCGCAAACAATGTAGGGACAGTATCGACGTGATCTGATAGTGTCAGCGTCGAGACTATATCCAGAACCCTCAAATGTTCCTAAAGCGATGATCGCGTCGCGTTGAGGGAGGAGATGGAAAAGCCCAGCCCCTCCACTTTCCGCTCGGACTTTGACGTAATTCCGCCACTAACCGTATCCGTCCCATCTCCCTGTTCCCGAAACTCCACGCCGCTCACTGCAGCGGCATCCCACTCAATGAGCTCAGCCCGCTCACGTCTGGTTATCGCTGCAAGTTGCAGCTACACAGCATGGTCTCCTCAGGCCACTAGCCTTGCCGCGCTCATAATGCCCCTCATCATACCCCGCCGGCCCACCATGCGCCCCAGTCTTCCACACATCATCCACGGCATTGACGCGCGATCGTGCTGCACACCATGGCTGTCTGCAATTTCGAAGGGAATAGCGACATGTATGGCTTAGGGATTCGGCTCGGGTTTTATCTCCAGTGGTATGCCGCGATACTGGCGCGGTGGATTGTGCCTTTGCCTTCCGAAGTCAAATCCTTGGGATTCTCCTTGAACCTGTTCGTCGCAGCTACGTTTCTGGCTCTAATCATCCTCACTACCAACAATGTTGAGAGTCTACAGCCAGTCGAGACGTATATCGTACTGCTACTCCTGTTCGGAGCATACCTTGCGCTCGTACCGATCTACCTTTGGCGACTATTGACCGGATGCGATCCGTACTGGGATCCGACCAGATATCCGATCGTGAACATGGGCGCATTGTCGGCGAACTTGAACTTCTTCCTTCTGATCGGTGTTTTAATCTTTCAGTACTGGTTCTGGTTCGATCGGGTACCGGACCTGGATCATTACAATTGCCAACAATACGGCTTCCTGCTCAGCCAGGTTCGACTCAACAGCAAGGTTTCTGTTGTGCTGAATGCGCTGATGTACTTTTGGCTCGGGGTGGTCTGTCTCTACCTCCTCGCCCTGAAGATATTGCACGTACTCGGCTTTCCGGATCCCTCTGACCAGCGCAAGCGTAGAGTCATTAGTCGTAGCCACAAGGAGCGACACATTGACCTCCTGCAGAACTTTGACAACTGGATCAGAATCATCGTCGCCATAATGGTAACCCTCGCGACCGAGCTCACTATCTCTTGGAATCAAATCGAGGGCACGAACACACTCTCCGGCGCCGGAAACACCATTCCATTCGTCATCGGCATCGGCGCCATCGTCCGCGTACTCTATGTGTCAGCCTTTTACGACACTGATGATGGGAGCGATGGGGATAGTTACTCTGGGTACGGGTCGGGCCGACCGCATCGAGGTGGCCCAAGTCCGCTGCCCGATAGACAGATGCCGGATATTCGCTATGTCCGACGACCACAGAGACCAAGACGGGACCCAATTCCCGTGCGGCGAATGCCATCGGTGCTATCTGTCGAAGAAACGGGAAGGCGACATGGTTGAAGTGGCTATCGGGCTATAGCGCACTATTTGGGTTCCATACCCCATCACGCCGCCAGTGCTTTGGGCCTGGCACTGCCCTCTTGCGTTAGAGAAGCTACATGTGGTCTACGATTGGTTGATGTCTACTATTCTTACTGGTGGATAGTCCAACGTGTATTTCCAGGGGCAGAGTGGTTGATAACTTGCATGTTCCAATGTAGTTTATACCGCGTCACATGTCAGACTTGGGTACGAACAAATCCACGTATTTTAGCGACCAAGTGGGGCCCAATCACTGTGCCACACCAGTCATACCCCACATGTCAGACCCACCCACAAACCCGAAAAGACGCCACATTTCCATGATGGAGAGAGTGACATTCGCGCCTTCCAGTATACGCTAGTTATAGCTTAGTTATCCGAGGAAATTCGTCATATTCCATAACCACATCGCTTAGAAACCTGCGAGGCCGGCTGGCGCAATGGTAGCGCGTAGCCCTCCTATCTCCCGCTCGGAAAGGCTAAGGCTGTGGGTTCGAGTCCCACGTCGGTCGAAAGACCTGGAATATACTTCTTTTGCCGTTTTATACTTCCCCGGATAGTGTGAGGTTGGTTTTTGGGGTGGTTGGGTGCAACGAGCCCGGACCACCTGCTCCAACACCACATCGTAGACTTTGCATATTTCAAATACCTAACGTATGCATTTACTTTGTCGCAAGACCTGAAAGGTTCTTATTTTGCACTTCTGTGCCTCTCGGATGACGAGGGAACTCTTTTGGGGGGTTGGGTGGGAGAAGATTGGACCGTGACGCTCAAACACGACACTCGACTCCTCACTCTTCAGAACACCTTTTTTTTATGCGTCTATATTTGTCGCGCGACCTGGAATATTCTCTTTTGGCCTTTCTTTTGAAGCTTGGGGTTGCCTTATCAAAGAGACTGACCGTGTAGAAGAGGCGCTTAAGCCACTCCGCTTCCAACACTACGACCTTGACTCTTATGACCCCTACGTTACGACGCTGCGTTCAAAACATACGCCCGCCGCTCAGGATCTAGACTACTTAGCTTCTGTGGTAATTATTGGACGTAAAGGTGGGCGAGAATTCTTGGGAATGTCCAGACTACCCCGCACCTGCCCAACGTCTTCGGCTGCTTCGCACAGCCGTGCTCCATTCACGCACATTTATCACGGGGATCAAAGCGAAGATTAATGGATTTTTAGATCTTTTTCGAATATCTACTTTCACCTAGCCAATGGCTGTTTGGTCTGCTACGGTCTGTGGCAGCTACTGCCTCATTCGCAACACGCTTAGCTCCTTCCCACAGTTCCATATCGCTGCAGCCGTCCTCACTGAAAAGTGTAGGGATCCAGATATTTTATGAGAAACCTCGAGGAGCGCCTAAATCTTCTACAAAGCACCCGTTGACTGCCTCCACCCTACTCGGTCCACGCTCCGGGCTTAGCGCGGCTCCTCATGTATTCATGGCTGACAGAGCACCGGTCATTTTTGCAGTATTCCTATCAGCACCGCCTACTTTCGATACAAACGTCCCCCATGAGCCCTGAATATCAACAACGCTACGGTAGGCAGCCGCCACAACGTTCCCCAGATCGGCCTCCCGGTCCTCACTATCCTTGATGACTTCGTCGCCTTGATGAACAGACGGCAGGGGAGAGGACTCCTGCATGGCGTCTGCTCCTGACTCCTTGAAACAAGTAAATGGAATCGTCAACTGCAGGCAAGATCGATTGTGGATCGATGGCAGGACTGCGCATTCACTTCCGCTGGAGCCACCGATTGGCTCGACACCCGCTTCTGGAGACGAAAGCTCTTCATGGTCTGGCGGTCCACTGTCCTCCTCACCCCGACTTTCTCCGATCTCGTCACTATTCGGCAGCCAAGGGCGACGGCGAGTAGTAACGTATTGCCCGCTCCTAGAAGTAGCGGCGATCGTCTTTGCGTCTCTGAGTAGCCCGTCTGAAAAGGGAGAATAGCCGACGGAATCGCCATTTGAATCGATCCCTGTGGGTTCCCATTGTTGAAACTTAGTGACACTGGTTGATTCCGTTGCCTCACGTGGGGTATGGTACTGGTCGACAACGGTAGGTGGACTCGCTTCAGCCAGCTCCATGCTTTTCATCAGCCTCTGAAGCTCCTCGTCCTTGTCTAAATCGATTGCTGGACGTTTCGGCATGTTGGTTTGCTCGGTTGGCGCGGACTGCTGTTTTCTGATATTCAGCGGCGCTGGTACAAGTGCTGGAGATGGATCTCTAGACTTCTTTTCGCCACTCGCCCGTGCAGAGTCCTTGCGAATGCGGTCTTCCAAAAAGGTTGCCTCAGAAGTGCGGTCGTCATCCGCGCCTCGAGTGGGAACAAGTTCAAGCGTCTTCCGCTTCGACAACCAGACAGCATGAATAAACCGAAATTGATCCATGTTCAGCGGCAACCACGACGAACCGTTGTCTACTGGCTGTGCATCGACAAGTTAGAGGAATCTGATGGGCTGTCTGTCGGGGCAATCACCCCTCTAAGCTCACTGCTGTCCGCGGATCGGGCCAGCGCATATTGCGCCTGCAATAGGCTTTCGAAATCACGATCCAGCTCATCCCTCACAGGCCGATCGCCGTGTCTTTCCATATCCAGCAAACCATAGCTCCACGCGCGAATCGTAGCCGCAAGTTGTTTCGTCGTCTCTGCGTTCGCATCGAGACCGAAAATGTCCCTCAGTCCAAGAAGAATGCCCATTGACGACATATTGGAGTTCTGGAACTTTCCAGGACTCCGAAGCCAACCCTCCCGCATACGCGATCCTTGTGACTTCGATGGGACATTCCATATATTGGACTCGAGAGCCGGAAACCATTGCTGTGCCATCTTTGTCGTGGCAATCTTGGACCACGGTATAGACGACACGATTGCTTCACTTGTGATGCCTCCCCATGCTAAAGCTCTGGTATCGTTGAACCTATTCGTGCTCAACCCCAGTGATCTCCGAACAGCACCGACGGCTACACATGCGTCCTGGCCTAGCTTCGTCACATCTGCGACTCCGATAGCGAGCTAAATAGAAGGAGACCTGGCTTGCAAGACAATCGCTCGCGCGAATGCACCCAGCAAATCAGTGTCCAAGACGACGAAAGGCGATGACCCAAAATCATCGAATTCCGCTTGTTCAACAAGCGCATCCAGAAATGGCTTGCTGTCGACGTTGTCGTTAAATCGGAGACTATCTACCTTCGCGCGGTGCTTTTGAGGGAGCGGTTCTCGCAGCTCATAATGCTCGGCCACAAAGTACGCAATGTTCGGCGAGAGCACGCTGTATGCAGGTGTGCGCTGATTCCTGCTGGCAATCCTGCGAAGTTTGGCTTCGGTCTCTGCACGCGTGTTAGCATGCATGCGCTACGTTGGACCAGGGTGCCTATGGGTGTGTAAAGGGGTATGGGCTGAAATACTTACTACTGGCACGTTCCTCCGCCGGCTTGAAGTGCGACGCGGACTTTTCAGCCTGCGTCTGAGTGCTTTTGGTGTTCATGAACGGATTGAACAAGCTCAATTTCAACGACGCTTCACGGCCGTTCTGTGCCGGCTCGGACTCAGTCAGCCTTCGTCTCTTCTTCAGCTTTGCAGGCAGCGCGGATATCTCGCTGCGGAGGTGCTTCATGATGGGCTCGGATGATAGTCGCGCACACTCGTGGGACAAAAAATTTAAGGGGATGGAGTACCGGGCGGAAATATGCAATTGAGTAAAGAGAGTTGGCCGCCGTGGGTTGTGAAGAAAATGTCCTCAGTTTCAATCCATATATTCTGCAGGTGTGTGCTAATGGATGTCCAAACCACGACTTGCCGTGGACATACCTTTGGTCTCGCGGCCATGTCAACCGCACTTCTCGATCGAACTGTCCTAAAAACAGCAGCCGAAGGGTGTGAATGCTCGCTCAATCTAGTCTTTACTCCCAACAAAAGCTCTTCCGAGATGTTCTCCAGATTATGATCGTGGGGGTTAGTCGACGAGGCAAAAGCGACAATCCGGCCTTGCTTTGGGCCATAAGGGTAGCGCTTGTATGCGACATCTTGCGCTTGTGGACGATGAGAACTTCGTTAGTTCTCGGCAGATCACAGCATTTTCGACGCAACATGGTTGGCAAATTTCGAGGTATGAAAATTGCTTCGTGGAAGGCTGTACGTTGGTCAATTTTCCGGGATGCTGCGGCCTGAGCAAATCATCATACTCATGTAGACTGGTTGGGCTGAGACATCTGCATGTCCCACGGTTGTTCTCTTGCGGTGTCGGTGCCTGCCCATGGTAGTCTTTCTGGTTCTAGGCCGAGCAATCTTCGCACATGATATATTTTTCTTAATGACGAGATTGGAATTGTTCAAGAAGTCTCGAGTCTACTGCGGCGACTGCATAATGGAGGATACAAAGGTTGTCGCAAAACGGGAGATGCTCGAGATGGAGATCTCAACTGTACTTCGGTACAGACAGAAATCCGGTAGCGGAGTTAGCCCCAAACTCATCTAACCATCAGCTCCACTTATTATAAAGGCTAAGTATCTGCCGTTTGTGTATGAAGGCCTCCCGCGACGGATATCTATATGTCTTTCTGGCAGATCTCCGAGGCAGAAGACTTCTGTCGAATCGTGAGACATCTAAGCGACAACAGCTTCATACTAGAGCTCAAATGGGCAGCGCTACAGTCACCTGTGGGGGCACGCGGCACTACGCCGTTCACTCGACATATGAAGATTCACTCAAGGTCCGTGCGCCATGACGTATTTTTAGGCTCGTGCGCTTATAAGCTCCGGTTACCCGGCGCGCTTCTCTCCTTCTAGTCTGCACGCCCTACGGTTAACATGACGTTCTCATATTTATATCATCGTAGGGAGTAATGTTCTCCAACCTCCCTCGTGTATCTTCTCTCCATTCTGTTGCCGCCGTCCGACCGCTGACCTCCCGTCACCTCGATCCGACATTCGAAATGCCACCCCATTGCATGTTTATGAGCCGCCGTTCCCGGCCTCAACCTTGCGCGAAGTGATCGAAAGCATATCACTCTACAAGACTTCTTTTAGCTGCGCTCGCTCTTCGTTCCAGGCGTGAACGTCTTCGCCATGGCCTTTACGGCGACACGGAGCAGTCATACAAAAGCCTTGCCGTGGCACTGGCTTCCTCGCTCATGTGGTACCGGTCTCGTTGCCACTGCCTAGAGACCTTCTTGGAACATCCGCCCTCGGCGCAAATCTCGACCCCCATTGGAGCGTGCGACTCCAGTAAGCATGCTATCTGCAATGGTTGCCAGGAGTGACCTCGGATCCCGAAGGCTCGATAACTGGCTTGCTGTCGCGTGACAGCGGCAGGGCCGTTCAATGTTTGTTGGTGTTCAATTGCCCAGCTGTTGGCATGCACCTGCCCAGCCGGCTCAATTGCCGACTTGCGCCTCGTCATCAGCCACAGGTTCTTGAGCAACTGAAATAGGAAGGTCCACCTACGATATCCTAGGCAAGCCTTGGGAAACGTGGAGTGCGATGGGGAGTGGTCCTTGGGACTCTGC